CCCAGAGGCGATGTTGCTGGGTTAAGATCAGGGGAGTGACTTGTCCTAACTCAGAGTGAAGGAGAAGAGTCAAGCAGGCTGCACAGCATATTGGGAGTGCTGACCAAAAAAAAAAAAAAAAAAAAAAAAAAAGCATGTCCTATTTTTTGCAGAGGGAAGGGGACTGGATGAAACAAATCCCAAGTGCAGAATGGGGGTTGGGGATAGTCATTCTTTCCCCTCCCCCACACCACTGACACCATACAGCCATTCGGCACGGGGCGCCCACGGGCCACACACCATGCCATCCCCTGTCACGTGTTATCTTATTGAACCCTGCTAAAACCCCAGGGAGGGGACTACTTGTAGTCTTCCTGCTATTGATGAGTAAACTGAGGCTGAAAGGGGTTGAGAAATTGACACAAAGTCGCATCGAAGGCCAATGGGAGTCCAGGATGGGAACCCAAGGCCCTGGGACGGGAGCCTATGCTCCAAACAAGCAAGTTGTCCTGCTTCCCACACCTGTCTGAAAACTCCTCTTGCCAGGAGGCTGGGAACCACTGTCCTGGGAGTGTCACAGCACGACGCAGCCGGGACACTGGGCAAGCCTGTCCTGTTCAGGACTTGGTGGAGAAGATAAACTCTTAGAAGAGACAGAAAAGAGTCTGCCTGTCTCCATTGCAAAGTGGCCTCCCCCCACCCCTGCGTGATCTCCTCGACCCCGAGGCTCCTCCGAGACGCCCGAGGCGTGAAGCACAGCAGCTGTCGGTCTGGCACTCCCGACCCGCAGCCACGTCAGTGTGCTGGGCGGGAACACATGCGAACTGTCTGCACGGACGGGGCGGGGGAAACTGAGGCTGCATCTCGTGGGCTTGGGAAAAGCCAGAGGGTGCAGGGGCCTCAGCTGGACCTGCTGTCGCCCCAGAGCCAGCAGCACAGAACCCGCCTCTGCCACCACTCGGACGTCACAGCTGGTGTTGTCCTTCCACGCCAAGACCTCTCCACAAGGAAGGTCAGCAGGAACAATACCAATTCGAGTTCGCAAAGGTGCAAAGTGTTCTGCCCACCCTCCCCCCTCTTCTTTGCCGCCCACTGATGCTCCCCTCTTCCCACACACCCCTATATGGAAGGGTTTTCACTTCACTCTGGAACCAGCCTTCATCCTCATGCAGCCTCTGCGCTCAGACCTGGAAAGAGAGCCTTCTCAATTCTCAGCTGAATATGGGTCTAACAGTGCAGGACACCCCCCAGCTATTCAAAGAAAAACCACCAGAGGAAACGATTTCAACTCTGGCTTTACAAGCATGTGATTTAAAAATAACCCTGCCTTTGTCTGCTGGAGATGACTTTCCCTAAAGGGACTGCTGTCCTTAAAGCAACTGCTCAATTCTCAGGGCAAACAGATTCTTCTTTTTCCAGTACCCGGTGCTTCCAAGCACCACCTTGGATAGCACCTGAAACACAAACACTGAGGCGGCCAGGATGACTCCAACCGTATCCGCCAGCCTGGGTCACCCAGGCTGCTGCCCCCAGGTGACTAAGAAGCTCCTGCAGGCGGCTAGCGCATCCAGCAACCACCGCTCTTCTTCTCTTGTGAAGATGTCGGCCCAGAGTGCTTAGCCGTCTCCCCAGAGCCACGGGAGGTTTCAATGGACCCCTGGGTTCTTTCTTCAAGGGAAAGTGTATTTCTACAGATACATGATTCATTCTTGGGTGGGAGGAATAAGGGTGGCTGGATAAAATAGGAAGTGGGGTTGGGGGCAGTCATGGCAGGTAGTCTGAGAATTCGCAAGAGCGCTCACCCTGCGGTCCCCAGACGTGTTTGGGGCAGATGTGGGGCAGACCTAGAGAGGTGCAGCGTGTCACCTTTCAGCCCCATTCCCTTCCCACCAGACAGGGAGCCCCAGCGACACGGTGCTACTGAGCATAACTCGAAAGACGCAAATAGCAGAAAAACAAGTGTTTAATAAAGTTACTCTGAAACTGTCTCCCGATTAACCTGATGTCATAGTTCTACAAATTAAAAGTGTATAACTATGCTCTTATTAACGTTTTATTTCTTCTTGAAACCTGTTTCCTGACATTTGGAAAGTTGGTGCCTCCGCTGTGTGCGGCAGAGGCCTGAACTAAGCCCTAACTGTGCTGTCCAAACTGAAAGTCCACATCAGCAGTTCTTAAGCGTGGGGGGGCGGTGCACGGGGCGGGGGGGGGGGATTCTGCCTCCAGGGGACATCTCGGCAGCGACTGGATTCATTTTCACTAGGCACAGCCACTGTGTGTGCATGTGGGGCAGGGGGAGGGGGATGTTAAACTTCCTGCAAAGCACAGGACAGTCCCCACAGCAAAGACTCACCTGAAACATCAACACTGCCAAGGTTGAGAAACTCTGCTCTAGACTGAATGTATGCAATTCCCAGAACGCTCAAGGCTATGCCTGTGTGCTTCCCTTCTGAGGACTTGTTTTCCTCAAGATGAACTTGGTCTTTCTATTTTAGTCTGGTCCACCGGTGTGATTACATAGAACCATCAAGAACTTTCTCCTTCTTCAGGTTTGCTTGTGAGATGCCAACCACCAGGCCCACACCCCCTATTATAAGCTGTATCACGGCCAACGCTATAAACAGTAGGGGGTTACTTTACCTGCAGCTGGTATTTGAAAAAGAGCTGTAACTTTTTCCCTTCTTTGTTAGGAGTATCATTGAGTTTTCAATTGAAGAAGATTATTTTGCAGTGTATTTCCCTGATCAAAAGAGGCATTTAAATGAAGAGTTTCTTTATAGATCCCAGTGTCCCCTGGGACCCTAGGGCCCTTCCCTCCTCCACACGTGAACAAATGACCCCCCACTGAACTGAAGAGTCCTTGGCTATGGATTGCAGATCTGGCTGGGGCATCTGAGCTCCTGAGAGTCACTGATGGATACCGGTCCTGACGAGCTCTGACGACAAGTGACTTACGGAAGCCTCGAGTCCCCAAACCCTGATCCTTGACTCTCACTAGGAGCCAAGGTGTGGGAGCCTGATACTTGCATGCCCTTTGGGAAAAAATGCGGTGTTTCTAACATGCTTTATCTTGTATTTGACAGAAGATTGAGGAATATTTGTCAACTGAATGAAAGTTTTAGGGTTCAAACACCCCAATCCAATAACTATTGGCCCTGATTTCCCAGTATTTCTCTCCAGAAGAAGTGATATACAGTGCCTAATTGCTTTCAGAAGGTATTTTAGAAGACAGAGATTCAAATAAATGATAAAAGTTGACACAGAAATAACGACGATCGTTAACTGCTCTCACTAATAAAACATTTGTTAGTCGTCATTTGACCTTTTATACACATTCTCTCTAATTTTCACAACAACTCAATCAAATAGAAATCATACCATTCTACACACAGGGAAACTGACGTTCCAAGAGGCTGTCCCTTTGTAGGGCCACACGGCTACAAAGGAGTACATCTTATTCTGCAGAGCTGAGTGACTAAGACATAACTGAGCCTTCTCACTGGGGCCCTGCCCCCTTCTCCCTGGCTCTTCCCCACTTTGAATGGTTATTTTGCTGGTTGTGAGTTCCTGGGAAGAAACTAAAGACAGCGGCACTGTGCATGCTTAGTAACAGGGACTCGGGTTCACTTAAAGGAGTACTTCCCCGAGCTTCTACAGCCTCCAGGGGTGGTCAGAGGTTAAGACTTAATTCCCTTCCAGCCAATAGCCTTGAGTTACAATTCAAAGCAGGTTTTGGAGAAGGTGCCAGCACAGAGAGCTGTGAATGGGAGAACTCTAACTCCAATGCTAATATTTCGAGGGAGGTGTGTGCTCTTCCTCCTTCGCATCATTTCCTTCACTTAAATCTTGTTCTGTGTGTCGCAGAAACTCTACATGAACCGGGTTCAGGGGTGATCTCTAGCACAAGTCTCCCATTGTCCTGCTTTCTGTCTTCCCCTGCAGCTAAGGCCTTCAGCTCTATGGCCTTCCTGGCGATTTATCTGGCTGAATCTTTGTTCCTGGTTACCTGTGCACATAAAATGGTCTTTCTTCCTGTCCTTTTTGTACGACAGGGCGCTAAAGGCATGAAGCCACAGATGCCCCAATGTGTGCTTATAGCTGAGCAGTCAGCAGTGGGTTTTGAAGTACCGGTCATTTCGGGTGATGTTTTTGTAATATTTCAACATTATTTACAGCCGACCTTGTGGCCTTGCCAGCTTTCATAAAAGTAGATTAAGTGTGATAGACAGATGGAAATGAAAAAAAAGAAATGTAAGAACAATTTGGTTTATAGGAATGCTAAGGAGAGAAATATGGGCCTGGTGTTGAAAAAGGCTAATTAATATGAGAGCCACTTTTAAATTCAGTTCCTCAGTTGCTGAAAACACAAGATGGAAAGATAAAAAAAGCTATCTGCCCCACACCCCTAACTCACATTATTTTTCCCTCTAGGCCAAGACAAGGATGAATATGGGTAAACCACAGCCTTACAGGGAGTCTGCCCAAATCGTTCAGATACAGGGACTATAAGGGATGGGGAAGAGAGACAGGAGACAAGAAGGGTACCTGAATTGTCCAAACCAGAAACTGTAAGTTGGTATTTCTTAAACCGCAGTCCTTGGGTCAGCTGCCTCAGAATCCCCCAGGGGGCGGGTTAAAATGCATATTCCTGGGCCCTGACCCCAGACCTGAAAAGTCAGAATTCCTAGGGTAGGTGTCCATAGAATCTGCATTTAGCTGACTCCTCCAGGTGATACAGATGCTCACGGAAGTGGGACAACCACTGCTGTGGGTGACATACGGGGGGTGGGGGGGGGAGTAGGTTTACAGTGTGAGTTTGCAAACCGGTTCATTCTTACATTATTATTTATTATGGTATCATGATCCATCCGAACCACTGTAAATCTCTATTTGCCCCATCCTGTACCAGCTCCTCTTTCAGAGCGAGCCCGGTCCCCCTGATGAAGATGTTTGTGCCCCCCATCCTGCCCCTCCCTTTAGCCCTCCTCCCCGTCTGGCGGGAGAACCTTCTGAGAGTTTACCTGGTCTGATGGGGCTCTGCATGCAGTTCGGGGATGGGATGCCAGGGTGAATGGGTGCGGAGGCCCGACTGCTGAGGTCCATGACGGAGGGGGCAGCTGAGGAAGCCGGCTGCAGCCCGGGGGGGTGGGGGCTGTGGTCATGCTGAGGGCTGGGGGGGATGCCATTTTCCGATAAGAACTCCTCCAGGTCCATGTATTCCAACTGGAAAGTATCTCCATCATAGGGAAGGGTTTTGTCCCATAAGGTGGGTCCCAAGAATGCCGACTGGGGGACCGTTGGGCTATTACTCTCATCATCCAGCTTCTTTCCTTTGTCTTTATCTTTGTTAAATGCTGCAGGAAAAGGGGAAAGTTGGACTGTAACAAAGAAAAACTGTCGTGCCCCCCCCCCCACCTCCCCTGCGGTCTGCTACAAAACTACCAGTCACAAACACCAGGGCTGTCTGGCTGCTGGCTTTTGTGGATCTAGAGTTAAAGGTTCAGGCAGGGCATGGATCTCTGCCTGTTTTTCAGAATCTTCCTATTTACTTTGGAAAGAAAGCACTAGTCCTTGGGACAGGGCTACAGGCTGCTCTAGGATATAAACAAGAGAGCACAGACTTCAGGATGTTATTTGAGGAGAGAAGGAATTGTCTCCTCAAAATCTACAGTGGGGTTATTACACCTGTAATTACATAAAACTGCTGTGATTTTTAAGACAACAGGCAACAACAAGGCAAATCCATCGCAGTAACAATACGAAGTCATTCAGACTTGGGAAGCCAGGGCGTTGGCTTTCCACAGATTACCTCCAAAAATGTCACAATCAACTTGTAAATAGCGATCACCCACATTTATAATGAAGGAATGGAGACTCTGAGCCTTGGAGGAACTTGATCAATACCCCGCACTGGCATGGAGGGAAACAGAGAACTCCTCCTGAGCTCACACATGTTTGATTCTAAAGCCATGGGGCAATACTGTGTTTTATAAAAGGAAGGACGTTTTTTAAATAAAGTGTGTTCTTCCTCCTCTTCTTCCAAACACTTAAGTATAATCCGATTCACAAAAACTATACATGTATGCAACCTATCAAAAGCACAGCTAAGGGAAAAGGTGGTTACTCTACATACCTATGAGGCAGGTACGCAGCTATTTTTACCTGGAAGTATTGCCTCACCCCATGAGGGCTTTAACCAGCGCGCTGAAATTTGCCAAGTCTAGTTAGTACTCAGGCGCTGGTGAAATCTGGGATTAAGAAATTTGGTTTATGAGTTCCTTCCTCAGAGAAACACAGCCTCCACACGTCATCCATTCTAATACGCTACAGTCTCATCTTCTGAGAATCTGACTTAAAACAACCACGGATGCAAGATTACCAGCAGCACCTTCCACCCAAGCGCTATTCCTTAAAGGGCAGTGACAGGGAAAGCTACGCCCTGCGGACCGCGAACCAAACCCCTTCACTTCTGCAATGCAACAGGTTGCCTCCTGCTAGGAAAGATGCGAGCACTCCCAAGATATTTGCAGCCAAATGATCTTTCAAGACTCCTCAGAGTCGCACCAGCCGCATTTGCTGTGATACACAAAGCAAGAAACCGCAATAGCCCAAATGCCAAATCCGCAGCGGCACCAGCTCGGCCCAGCGCCTCCTTGCACGACCCCTCCGGTCCCTCTCCAGCCAAGGTTGCAGGGGAAGGTTTGGGACTTACCAAGAAAGGGCTCAAGCCAGAGGCGGCTCCTGTGCGGTTACACGTGAGCCTGCTCCTCTCTCCCCTCCCACCAAGAAAGTGCACGGGGGAAAGTGTCAGCGCTGGAGGCGTGCGCGGCTTCCCGCCGAGAGACAACCCCCCGCCCCCCACCGCCAGTTCTCACCCTCCTTCCGAATTACTCTTCACTGGAGAACACGCGTCTCCGCTCACATCTCCTGAGTTTAAAATCCCAACTAACACCACAAACAATAATACGATTCCAAAACGCGGCCGGAGCAGTCAGGCACCCCTACCCGAGCCCCCGCCTGCACAGGGGCCAGCCCTCGGCTCTCTCCTCCCGAGCCCCAGCAGCTGTGCCCTCGCGAAGGCGGTTTCGCTCTGCGGGAGGATAAGCGTCGCCTTAGGAAACACTGACCTGTCCAGTTACCTCTCCCACCTGCGCCGCAGGATGGGGACCCGGCGTGGGCCGGATCCCCGTGGCTATTTTAAACGTTACTCAGGAAGAGGGTCCCCATCTCTCGAGGAGGGGTGGGGTGACGGGTGAGCTCTCTCTAGTTCATTAAAGCAGGGCCAGGTTGTCGGGACTGGGACGAAGGCAGGCGGATGCTCCAGCAAGCTGGGGTGGGGGGAGGTGCCATGCCACGGAGGGGCCCCAGGAGCGTCGCCCCTTCCCAGAGCGGGGCAGCCAGGAGGGCAGCGCTCACCGTCTTCATGATGAAGGGGGAGCTTCAGCGGGTTCTCCAGCAAGGACCTGAGCACGCCGTAGGGAGGCGGGATGAAGGTGGGATTCAGGGGGAGCGGTCGGGACATTTTCTCCATCGCGATGAAAACTTGTTTTTCTTTTAAAAAAACCACCCACCAAAATGTTGCTGAGCTTTTTCGTCCGTCCTTTGCCCAAAGTACTCGCTTGGAGACAAGAGAAGAAAAAAAATTACTTATGTCTTTATAAATACATCTGCATGAAAAAACAAAAACAAAAACAAAAAAACAACTTTCAGGTCTCCCGTGCAGACGGTCTCCGGAGAGCGCGTCCAGTGCCCGCCGGCTCCTCGGCGACGTGCGGGTGGCTTTCACCTGCCTTGAACCCCTTCGTCTTGCCAAATGTTCAAAATTGCAAAAAAGACAGACAAAATATGCAGACGGCCGCTAAAGAACGGAAGACACCGCGACACCGCGGCCCCGTCCCGCCAGCACCCGAGGCCACGCGCAGTCCCACCCCACCCCCCTCCCCGCGACGGCTGCCGCTGCTCCCCCGCGTTCCGCGGCCCCGCAGCGCCGGTCTCAGCGCATCCGGCTACCCATGTGCCGAGGCCCTGACAAGAGTGACGTCAGGGCCCGCACCGCGCGCCCATAGGCGTACAGGGGGCGGGGCCAAGCGCGGCCCCCGCCCCCGCCCCGCCCTCCGCGGCGGCGTGTTTAGCATCGTCGCGCGCGCAGATTTTCCGGGACCATGCGGAGCTGGCAGGTTGCAAAGGGACAGGTGCCCGATCCCCGAGGCCAACGTCTTGGGCTAAGAATTTGACTTTTTTTCAGGGTGGTTAGAAGACTAGGTAACTTATTTAAGTCGTTTTCAACCTGAGAATAACCTGGAGAGTTTAAAAAATCCAGACGCCCAGGCCGCATCCCAGATCAATTAAGTCAGATCTCTGCGCTGACATCCAGGCATCGATAGTTTTTAAAGCTCCTCGGTGGTTCCCGTGAGCAGTCGAATTTGAGAACAAGTTTAGAGCAACTGAGGGTAAATATTCTTCTAAAATATTTCTCCCGGCCCCAGCGAGCTTAGTGCCCCCTCTCCTGACCCGCTCCCTCAACCACTGAAAATAGCTACTTACCGGAAGTTCTAGAAAGATGCAAAAAGTGGAGTGGAGAAGGGGACGCAGACGGAGCGCGGAGAGCTGTTTCTCACGCTGTCAGGGGGGTAGCAAGGGGGATGCACAGTTGCCTGCAATTAGATGAGATCGGGAAAGAGACACACACACTGAATGGGGTTGTAGGAATATTTACTCTAGGAGGGTACTGATGACCATTCGTGGGTCGTTACAAAGTCTGCACGGTAATTAAAATAATTTTATAAAGTATTCCTAAAGGGGGTCTCAGCCTTCATTGCCATAGCAGCAGCGTCTCCGGCTGTCACTTCGATGCACTGCAGCGCTGGTAGCCCAGGAGTGTACCCTTGCCCCCAGGGTGAGTGGGACCCCCGCCCCCTGATCTGGGGTGGGCTCAGGGCGATGGCATCCAGGCCTGGAGAGCTCGGGGCAAGCAGACTCTCCTCCCGCCACTGCCCACACCTCCTCGCTAAGATTCTGGCAGCATGATCTGGAGAGGGTCTGCAAGAAGGAATGGGCACGAATTAAAGAAAAAGTTCTTTCACCGAGACATAAAGACCTTCCCCAATATAAGGACCTCTATAAAGGCTACATTCCTGCAATGGGACATGGTGGAGTGACTTCTGGCAGGTGCTTTTTCCTCTCTGAGCTTCAGTTGCCTCATAAAAGGGCATATAATCAAATGACCTCTGCATTTTCCCCCTACTTGAAAAGTATGACTAAAAGTTAAGGTAACAGTTCTAAGTGAAGTGGTGTTATAATATTTCAGATTTCAGCCAAGTTTAGAAAACAGACTTTAAGCTAATGCCATGCACATTTATTGAGCATCTATATGCCAGAGACTATGCTGAGACTTGGGAGAAAAGGATAAAGACTATTCTAACCCACAAGAACTTACAGTTTAGGGTCTGGCATATTTGCAAACATTATAATATAGTCTTAGAAAAGCAAAAATGGAGAGATAGAGGTGGCATGGGCACTTTTATTTGGGGAGGGAGTCCAGAGAAAGTGTCTGAGCTGGGCATGGAGTTAATGGTCTTTCATGAACTTTCCAAATCTCTCAATTCTATTATATTGTTCTTCACATGCAAAAAGGAACTGCCCCTCCATCCCTTTGGAGAGGCAAAGGCTATTTGTCCCTGCTTCATTCCCCCACCTACCTGTCATTTCCCCTGCCCCCCCCCCCCCCCCCAAAAAGCCTTGCGGCCTAGAACTACAGCCATTTCAGTTCTGATCATTCTGCAACCTGGACTGGGATCTTGAGATGCCTGGCCGCCTCTTACTTCTCTGTTTTCACACGGCCTCCTGACGTGGTTTCTTCACGTGGTCTCTCCAGCAGAGTAGCCAGACTTCCTACAGGGCAGCTCAGGGCGGCGACGAGCCAGCAACCCAAGGGGCGTCCCCCAGGGCACAGTGCTCATCCACACTTTGCTCACTAACGATCGGCTGGTCAAAGCAGACACGTGGCCAAGGCTTGAATTCATGTGGGAGGGGACTACACAAAGTGTTCAAGTTGCTTGCCCATTTTAAGATTGGGTGGTTTGTCTTTTTACTATTAAATTTTAGGAGTTTTTAAATGTATTTTGGGTGCAAGTTCTTTGAAGCACATGAAGATACATGTGCTGTGACTATTTTCTTCCAGCCTGTGGCTTGCCTATTAATTTTCTTAACATTGTCTTTCCTTGAGCACAAGTTTTTAATCACTGATTTGTTTTGCATGGGTTTTACATTCTGTGAACTAAGAAACCTTTGACTATCCCAAGTCTTAGAGATATTTTCCTCTAAAACTTTTATCATTGAAAGTTTTATTTATTAAACGTTTAAGCTTTTCCATTTAGGTCTCTGACTCATTTCAAATTAATTTTTGTGTACAGTGTTGAGGTACAGGTCGAGGTGCTGCTGCTGTTTTCTTTTCCTCATGGGATTATTCTATCTGATTATTCTAGCAACGACTGTGGAAAAGATTTTCATTTCCCACCTTGAATTGTTTTGGTGCATTTATTGAAAATTATTTGACTGTATATTTGTGTGTGACCCAAACCTTTGAACCCAAGGGAAAATGTGTGCTTTATCTCCAAGTACAGAATAATGCTATTTCTAAGTTTCCTGGGTTCTAATTCATATCAAGCAACTGAACAAAGTTCATTAAAGTTCCTAGCTAACATGAATGGCTCACATTCAATGGTTCATACATTGTGTTACAAGACCTTCTACAAAGCTGGCCACATAACTTAAAGAGCCTAGATGCAGAGACAATGGCCAGTTTGCTTTTGATATGTATAAGCAAATCATCAAGTCTGCTGGATACTTTTGGATGCAACTCTCAGTATTTTGATGCTCCTGTCCTAATCTGTATGTGCTTGGGAAAAAAAGAAGAAAAAAGGCCAAAACAAAATCTCCTTGTTGGAAAAATCCAAACAAATAAATATTATCAGAAAAAGATTTGACCAGTCAGGGGAAAGCCCTTCAATCATCTCTTCAAGGAGGAAGGGAAGGATAGCAAAGGTGCCTGCGGTGTGGGGCTGTTCTAAACATAGGAATGACCACAGGAGAAAGGTTCCTCAGAGTCCATTTTTTTCTTTTCTTAAAATATATTTCATTGATGATGCTATTGCAGCTGTCCCAATTATTCCCCCTTTGCCTCCCTCTGCCCCAATCTATCAATCCCCCTCCCTAGTTCATGTCCATGGGTCATGCATAGAAGTCCCTTGGCTTCTCCGTTTCCTTTACTATTCTTAACCTCCCTGTCTATTTTGTGCCTACCAATTACGCTTCTTAATCCCTGCACTTCCACCCTATTCTCCCCCTTCCCCCTCCCAGCTGATACCCTTCCAAAAGGTCTCCATTTCTGTGATTCTGTTCCTGTTCTGGTTGTTTGCTTAGTTTGTTTTTTAGATTCAGTTGTTGATAGTTGTGAATTTGCTGCTGTTTTAATGTCCATAGTTTTGATCTTCTTCTTTTTCGTAAATGTCTCTTTAACATTTCATGTAATAATGGCTTGGTGCTGATGAACTCCTTTAGCTTTATCTTATCTCAGAAGCACTTTATCTGCCCTTCCATTCTAAATGATACCTTTGCTGGACAGAGTAATCTAGGTTGTAGGTCCTCGCTTTTCATCACCTTGAATTCTTCGTGCCAGTCCCTTCTAGCCTGTGAGCTTCTTTTGAGAAATCAGCTGACAGTCTTAGCGGAACTCCTTTGTAGGTAACTGTCTCCTTTTCTCTTGCTGCTTTTAAGATTCTCTCTTTATCTTCAAGCTTTGGCATTTTAATTAACATGTGTCTTGGTGTGGGCCTCTTTGGATCCAACTTGTTTGGGGCTCTCTGTGCTCCCTGGACTTCTATGTCTGTCTATTTCCTTTACCAAATTAAGAAAGTTTTCTTTCATTATTTTTTCAGTAAGTTTTAAATTTCTTGCTCTTTCTCTTCTTCTGGCATTCCTGTGTTTCAGATGTTTATATGTTTGGAGATGTCCCTCCCAGAGGCTCCTTATACTATCCTCATTTTTTTTTTTTAGTATTTTTTTCTTCTTGCTATTCTGATTGAATGCTTTTTTTTCTTCCTTATGTTCCAAATCATTGATTTCATACTTGTCTTCATCCTCCTCACTGTTGGTTCCATATAGATTTTTAAAAATTTCACTTAATGTAAACTTCATTTCTGCCTGGGTCCTTTTTGTGCTGTTGCCATACTCAATGAGCTCTTTGAGCATCCTGATAACCAGTGTTTTGAACTCTGCATCTGATAGGTTGGCTGTCTCTGTTTTGTTTCGTTCTTTTTCTTGAGTTTTGTTCTGTTCTTTCATTTGGGCCATAGTTCTCTGTCGCTTCATTTGGCAGCCTCCCTGTGTTTGTTTCTGTGTATTAGGTAGAGCTGTTTTGACCCCCTGTCTCAGTAGGGTGGCCTGTTGTAGAAAACACACCTGTACATTGGGTGGGGCGGAGCCTCAGTTGACCAGCAGGGTAGGGCAACCCGCTTCCCTGCTTTGTGGCTCTGTGAGGAGAGCTCAGAGAGGGGGACAATGCTACTGCCTGGCTTCTGGAGGTTTTCCTGGTACTTGCTGTGTTTCAGGTCACTTAATTTTCTCCCCGTATATGACTGGTGTCCTTGCAGCTGTTGCCCTGGTGCTGAATCCCAGCGCGGGTGGGCCTGCATAAGCCCTAAGAGAAGTCTCCTGGAAATCAGGCAGTTTCTCCCACTGCCCCAACTCCCACTGGTTTTTACAGCTGGAAGTTGTGGGGATTTACCTTCCTGGTGCTGGAACCTTGGGCTGTGTGGTCTGGCCTGGGGCTGGGATCCCTTACTCCTGAGGTATCCCTTCTGATTTTTATGCGTCAGACACGAATGTGGCACTGCCCATTCTGCTGCCTCTCTGTGCCACAC